CTGCCCCCTTCCCCCCCCCCCAGCCGTACTTTTTTCCAGCAGTCACAAGTCCATTAAAAAAAGCACAACTTTTTCCATTAACGTATTATCCAACATAAGTAAGGAAGGTAGAGTCTGGCCCCTATCTACTTTGCACCTATGGCTGTGCTCCACCAGAAAGCACTTAGGATGGCTCCATGCTTCTCAAAGGCACTTTAAGTTACTACATCCTTTTTCACACATATCTTGTGCTTTCACAAGAAGTCCTTAGATCGGTGGCAAATCTTTCATGCTCTCTTAGGCCCCTGCTACACATTACATATACTACACAACTGACTGGCAAATCGCACGATAAGCGTAGGCCAGCCACACGTACCACGTCATTATCGCACAATAAAGTGACTTCCCAGCTATAAGAAGAGCCAATCAGCTATCAAGCTAGTGCTTCAAAAAAGCGCAACAACTTTATGACTGGTTTCAATGCAGCTGTCATACGAACGCGTAGCAGGGCCCTACACTATGAAGCAAGAGCCTTTTTTAAACGGCATCTTTTACTGGACCAACCGAGTTGCTGGATCTCTCTGTCAAGTGGCCCAATAAGACATACCACTGCTTCTTCTGTATCTCCTAAACCGCCAGGGCTCTCATACCACACTCGTGTAAGAAACAGATGCAATAACCAGGTGAATGTGGAAAGCTGCTGGCTCAGCTAGGCAGAGGTGGCTGTTACCCCCACGCAATGTGGCATCCCGCTTGAAAAGAGCCCTCTAGCTTCACCGAGGGCTGAAGCTGCGCGGCCTCAGCTCCCTCCTGCTGCCACAGGAGCGGGGCCGGTGCTACCCTTGGTCTCCAGAGCCTGCGCGGGGGGAGAGGGGCAGGCGTTGGCTTCCCCACCCCAAGGACCGTTGGGAGACCGTTAGGTCGGTACCTCCTCGATAGCGCGCCGCCCCGCCGCCGCCGTGTCCACCAGCGTGTTGTCCAGGTCAAAGAAGACGGCCTTGACGCCCTGCAGCCCCATGCCGCCGCCCGGCCTCGCACTGCCGCAACCGCCACTGCTCGCGGACACTAACGCAGCTCCGCCCTCGTCTCGCGAAACTCTCCTGCTCTCGCGGGAATTCCAGCCCACGGAGCCTGTGGGGGACGGAGGAGAACGGGGAGGTCAACTCTCGCGAGAACCCGCATCTACGTGCCGGGGCCGTAAGCTCCGTTTGACTTCCCCCGCTGCTTCCGCTCGTGGGAGGGCGGGGGTCTGGGGCTGCTCTGTGCTCATGCGCCGCGGCGTATGCTGACGCGGCCGTTGGCCAACGGCTACTCCGTTGAGCTCGGCAGCCCTTTCCTCAGGGGCAGCCAGCTGGGTGTGAAATGACCACGGGTGCATTCCCCTATGCCTGAGGAAGGGCGTCTGTGCATGAAAGCTTGCAAATAAAAAATACATTTTGCAACGGTCTAGTTGGTGTGATAAAAGATATCGCCTGTAGCACACTGACCGCGTGGGTACATGAGGACCCCCTGTGCATATATGGCACGCTCCCCTCTCCAGCAAAGGGCCTTCAAAGCCGCCTGCATCTTTTGCAGACCTTGCAGAGGGTGACAAGTCCTGTGTGACCATCGGCCCTAAGCCACCGGTCTTGAGGAGCCATGTCACAGAGCAGGCAGGAAAAGGATGGTTCTCACTGTCCTAGACCTGACACTAGAGTATTTCCATAAGGGGGCTGAGACCAAAGGAGTAGCAGGACTCCATGGGGAAATTGTTGCCCCTCTTTTAAATGACCCTTCTGTTACGAGAAGGGCTCTGGACACAGCAGAGGCAACCACCCCTTGTCCATCCCCTGTGTGGCCCTGCTGGTGACCCCGCTTCTCAGGACTGGTGACCAGGGCGTGCTGAAGCAACAGCCATGCTCTGGGGGCTGTCCTACACCACATGGTGCTTCTCGTTACTTTTATGGGAATGCGAGTTGTCTGTCTTGACAAGAAAATGCCAACGTTAGTGTTTGTTCAGTCCCAAAAAGGGATTGAACCAGAGGTCAGCAACATTTCTGGGCAGAGTGACAAAGACACCCGCAACCGTGATTTGTAAGATGTTGGCAGGGGAGCTGCAAGGGACCCAATACTTGTGGCAGGGCAGCCCGGGCCCCTTCCCTGCCATCTGATCTGAGGGGCACCTGCCAAGCAAAATGCCTTTGTGTGTCATGCTGGCTGGGGGTTGCCTACCCCTGAATTGGACAAATTTCGGGGCGGAGAGGGGCATCAGTAGCTATTAAGCATGGGAGTTAGGGATAGAGATACAGCCTCTGAATTGGAGCTTTCTAGACCTTAAATGCTGGAGGCTGCAAGTGAGAGAGGAACAGTGGAAAAAACCCTGGTCATACCCAGTTCAATACCTTTCAGCCTCTGCTGTCTGCCACCAGGACATAGGAAACTGGGCGAGATGGACCTATGGTCTGACCCAGTAAATGGCAGTTCGTGTATCTAATTACATCATTCTGAGAGGCAAGGATTTCTGAGGGTGATATGTTTTATTAGACCAACTATGTAGTTGGGATACAATTAGACAGGCATTCAAATACAGGATATTCTTCCTCAGGTCAAATGGCTTGCATTTGAAAGCTTGTCTAACTATCCCAGCTACATAGTTGGTCCAATAAAAAACATCATCCTAAGAAATCTTTGCCTTATAATTTCTGGACCATTACAACTACAGCATCCCTCTTATGTTACTGTTATATCGTTGTGTCAGAACATTGTTCCTGAATGTGTTGCAGCCTTCAGCTGTTTTTCAGCATTTCCTGAATATTTAAAAATACATTAAAAAGTATCCAAATTTTTAATGAAGTGCCTGTCATGGTGACCACCACACGTGACTTGCTTTCCTGAAAGCGGTAGGCCATCACAATGTATTTGGAGCAATTGATGGCATACATGTCATTTTAGTGCCACCTGCAGGCAAAGAAAACCATAATTAATTCTATAGCACCAATATACCTTTTCAATCCCTATGCCAGGTTTCCATCAGTCTGCAAATTGTTCTCCCATATGCCTGCATTGCAGCATATAAATCTTGAACCATAATTGAAAGAACTTTCAGCCTTTCATAATCTGTGCCAATCTAGTACCAGGCTGCTGCTAAAGTCTGAGAAGTTGACTAAACTGACTGAGGCTTTCATGCTTCACAATGTGGTGATCTTCAGTGGCTTCCTGTTTCAGGGTCAATGGGGAGACACAGGCAACTGACTAATTCCTTAAGGGTTTCCCATTAATATGGGACACAGGAGTATGGAACACATCTTGTAGCCCACCTCAGACCATACTCAGCAAAATACCTGTGGTATGGGCCACAAGATGTGTTGCTCCATGCAAAAGCAAGTGCTTGGTTAGTCACATAGACATGGCTTCTTACTATTTTTCTCAAGGTTTGATTCCTGTATATGTAGGGGTTATGGAGACATCAATTTTTTAAGTATCTTGTGCTGTATGTTAATTCTGTTTAAGTACATTAAATATATGTTGTGTCTGTATGTAAGATGTTATTAGGATCATTGGATCAAAATATGCTGCATTAGCTTTTGTGCTGTGTGTGGTAGAAATGCAATTTTTTTTTCATTTCACTAAAATAAGTGATTTGCTTCTGAGTCAGACTTGCTCCCTCCGCATTTTCAACCTTCTTTTTTCCTTTGGCACTTATTGAGCTGATGTATTTGGTGTCATTAACTGATCATCTTCCTCTTTTGTACGGCCAAGAATATGGTTAATATAATCTTCTTCAGTCCTCATTGCTGAGCCCATTAATGTACATGGCAAGATCATCACTCCCGCGACTAAAGAAAACTAGTGCATCAAAAGCTTTGAAGTCACAGATACAATGGAGCCTACCAGTGGCATGCATTATAGTTGTTTTTATATTTAGATTCTGCAAGGATCTGTTAAGCTATATAAACTATTTCAAATTTGCTTAAATTAGCTGAAATCTGTATAGTGCTCTTTGCAACATTAGATATACTTCGATTAATTACAAAGAGGGCAGTGCATGCTGTTTCATTAAATATGACACACAGTATGTGGCAAGCATCCCTTTCCAAAGTAGACGTGTTAGGAATGTAAATATATAGCTGATGCATGCATCCAGCACTCTCTTTCTAATTCTGGATTTTTCTTGCTATCTCAATCAAGAAGAGAGGGAGTCACAGGCTCTATGGAAAGAGGAATGAGGAAATAGTGTGGAGAGAGTCCATGTAAAGGATGACGGATGGGGAAGGTGAGAGAGGTACAGACTTTGCTAAGTGAGAAGACAGACACTATTGTGGGAAAAGAGGAGAATCATTAGGTAGAAATAAGTCACGATTTAGATGAGGTGATGGGACAAAAGGTCACAAACGGAGATAAAGAAACTGAATTTGTCACGGGAGTGAGGAAGCAGTGAAAGATACTGAGAAAATATTACTCTTAAAATGCTGTGTTTTGTTTTAATGGACATGATGTCTTCACATAAGTGATCACATTCTGGAAAAATAGACCTGTTTAATAATTTAGGTTCAGACCCTTGTTCTGGGGGTCATACCCACAGCTCTCTCTCTTTAATATGGCACCAGATATCAACTTCCATATCTATGAGCCGCTGTTTGATAGTATTGCTCAATATGCAGATTCCATCTGCCCCATCTGAGTATTTGTAAAGATTGCAGCTTTCAATTAGGTGCTGTGTTGTTTGTTGGATACTGCATTCACTCAGGGAGCTATCCAGATGTTCATTTTGTGAAGTGTTGTTTTGAAGCATCCACATCCAGATCTCAGTCTATTCAACTTGACCCACACTTCTCTGTCAAGGTTGTGCCAGTGTGGGACTCGTTTGCTCTGGGTATAAAATGCTGTAGAAATAGGTCTGACCTTTCCCAATGGTTGGCCCACTCTGTTGCTGCCTGTAGGTTTAGTTATGAATTCCCAGTCTCTTCCAGGAGCCTGTGGGCTTCATGTATAAACATTTTATGACTTTTAAGGCTCTTAAGCCTCTATCTATTCAGGTCTTCAGTCAACAGTTGATGGAGCAGGTGATTTTCACTCTACTGCCAGTAACAATGTTAGAGTCTGTCTTCTTATATCACTTGGTTTAATTAGCTGAGTAAAGGGAGTCTGTGTATAAGCTGTACAGCCTGAAAACCTGAATGGCATTGCAGAGGGAAGGAATTCCAAATGCAAGATTCTATCAATATTAATATTGCAAGTAGACTACAGATGCCCCAAACTAATTATTTTTTAAAGTTGTGTAGTCAGCAATGTAGAATATCTTGCAGCTCAAAACTCTGAACTCCAGAAAGCCTTAGTCACCAACCAAATAGTAATCAGGAGTGCTGACAGAGAAATTCCTTTGGCTGTTTGTAGAAGGGAGACTGGCAGTTTGCTTTATAGATACACTCTTGCCTCAGCAACAAGGATGGACAGAGTTGTCAGTTACTGTGATCGAAATCAAATGTCATTTGTTTTACCTGCCTGAGGAGAGAGGCATCATAATCTGCATGAACTGCAAGCCGGTTGTCTTTATGGAGGAGAATGTTAGGGTAGCTAGTCATATTTAGCTTAGTTGCACCTGCTTGAGTGGTGAATTATAGTATTTAAACTTTTCTTTTACATTCAGCCTTATTTAACTGTTGCTTAAGTTTTTATATAGCCTCTTTATAATTTGAACTTTTCTTCTCCATTTTGAGGTTGCCTTGAGCTCGCTTTCACATTGTTTCTCTCTTTTCTTATCAGTGTGAAAAGCCATTTATGTTCTTCTAAGATTACCGACACCGGTATTTATAGTGTGAGTCTTGTTACTAGCTCAGATTAACTGAACTTGGCATCAACCAACTAAATCAGAGGGCTGACATAATTGGATATGTTAATGAAAGGTGATAAGAGGGGACCAGTTGAACAGTGCCCAATTGCAGAGCCCTTGGAATTTCCAGAGTTGATGGACAGACCAAATTAGGAGTCTGGGGCATGCCCAAATTAAGACCCTGGGAAAAGATCAAATTGAGATGTGTGCATATGATAGGCTTGTTGGAACAAAGGAATATGATGATAGGATAAGAACATGAACAATATGATGATCATAGGGAAACCATTCAATAGTACCTGGAAATGAAGTGTCATCAGAAAAAAAAAGCATAAAAGGCAGGCAACAAGGGAGTTGGGCGTGTGTCATCGCCTTACAACATCTGGACTGAAAAACAGCCATTAACCACAGATGACCACTCTCTAATCTCAGGAACTGATTGGCTACCTTTTCTGTGAAGTAGAGTAATATCTGGGATTAGGTGAGACTACTGAACTACATGTTTTTCTCTCTCTCTATGTAGAAACTATTAATGCACTTAATGCATTATAAAGTTAGATTTTAGTTAGGTTGAATTGTATGAGGTGTATTCCATGTTAGACTCCAGGTTAATTATGCTTTAACAATCCTTTAGCACCATGGGGGCGTGACAGATAAGGTTGGTAGTCTTAAGGAATAGCTGATAATCTTTCAAAACACTGGGGATAGAGAAGATTTTCTTTATACCCTTAGCCAGTCAATACCCTAGCAGCTCCTGCAAGGCAATACAATGGGGTCAAGTGACCACAAGAGACTAGGGAAGGAGGAGCTTGGAAGTACCATCCTCAGAAGTAGAAGAATCCAAAGATATATCTTTCACATATCTCCCAGAGTGCCAGGTGTGGAGTAAAACATCCTAAGAGAATAAACTGCATGAGAGCCAAGCCAGACTCAGACCGAAGATGTCCAACTTTGGTGCGGCACATAGCTCCCCATCCCTGCCGATGGCACGTGACCCCCTACCCTGAACAGGGTCTACTGGCTGCACATGGACCCTTGGACCCTGTTGTGGCAAGTGGCTGCGTCACCCCACCCCCTGCTGTGCTTTTTGGGCCCTCCTCTGCTGAGTGGCATGACAGGAGGCTTCCAAGGCATGCAGGCCACATGTTAAGTGCTCGTAGATTGGGATAAGCTCACTGGCCACCAGTTGGACAGCCTGAGTTAGACTATGGAGAGAAGGAGACTTAACAGATAGCAGAGGGAAAAATTGACAACTGTTACGAGGTTTGCCCATCTCTTTGGGGGGGGTGCTCATTTATTAGGGGTATGTTTCTGGGGTCTCTGTTATTCTATCAATGTGCTGCTTGTGTTACTTGTGTTTCTATATGGAGCTGTATCTCTTCCTTCTGAAAGTCCTCACCCACAATGGAGCTGTCTTGCAGGACTCAATTTCAATGGGGCTGGGTTCCTCCAACCACCGAATCAGTCAAACACAGGTACGCACATACACACACAGGTCAACAGGACACGCCTGAGCCAGGCTGGGTTATTGAGGAGTGACAGGCTAACACCCTCATATGCCTTGAACTCAGTTCATCAGGGCAACAATAAAATGCAGTCAGACACAAGCACATGGGTTCACAGAGCACATCCAAGTCAGGCCGGACTATTCAGCATTGATAGGCTTGACACCCTCACATGCCTTGAACTCAGTTCATCCCTTTTTTTCAGAAGAACAATAATGAATGCAGTTAGACACACATACACACATGCTAACAGAGTACATCTGAGCAGGCTGGGTCTGATCAGCACTTTCAGCTGATACCCTCATGTGCCTCAAAACTCAGCACGTCACAATGGTCCTAGTAGTAACCCCCTTGATGAGCAGACCCCACTGTAGTATTGGGCATTACAGGGATCTTTGTAAAAGAAGCGTTGCTGCAGAGCAAACGCGGAGGTCAAGGGGAAGAAAGAGTAAGTGAGGTTCAGAGAGAGAGTATAGCAACCAGCTTGACCATAAAAGTTATTTATTGCCAGGTGTATGAACTTATGATGATACCAGTAATAACAGCCATACAAGAGAGACAAATTAACAGTTACAATATTACCTGGTTACAATTAGGTTTTGGGGGAAGTCTAGCTCGAGTTTGATTAGCAAAAGTCAGGTTTAGAAAGCTGTTCCTGGAGCAAGAGAATAAAAGTCAGGTTCCAGGAGGCAGAGAGAGAGAGTGATCAGCAAAAGTCCAGTCTAGAAAGCTGTGCCTGGAGTAAGGGAATAAAAGTCAGGTTCCTGGAGTCAGAGAAAGAGAGAGAGAGCTGGGGTCTCACCACTCAGCGAAGCTTGAACCAGTTGAGGTTCCCAGGTGTTTGTTGGAGCTTGCAGACAGGCAGAGTGCTCAGCATGATCAATGTAGGGATTCCAGGCAGAAAAGGAGTGGAACTGGTGCAGCTTTTGGATCCAAGCACCAGTACAGAAACTTGAGCTTTGGGTAGGGGTTTTGTAGAGAACTAACAATGGCTCAAGGGAGAACATTAGGTTTATTTATGGGTAAACAATGGCTCATATGCTGGATAATAGGAACTGATCACTCCTGGCTATGGGTAGCTCCTGAGGGAGCTTACAATACAGACAGGCAGATTCAGTGTTTTGGATACCAGTAGAGGAGTCATTACTAGAATTGGTCTGATAAATGCTGAGCTGCGTGTGTGTAGATGTGGGTTGATTAGCATTTGGAGCAAGGATTCCCCATCATGCAGTGCTCCCCTGCTTTTCTGATCCAAGAATTCAGTGCAGTCCTTGCCTTGGAATCTCTGTTCTCCACCCTGAATGCTAATGAAGGTCCATGCCTGTCCCATCTCCCATTTAAATGAGTTGTCATTAGGTTCTGTCTCTGATGCAAATGAGACCGGGGAGTTGCTTCACTTCTATCAACTTTGTTGCATCTCCCACTGCATCTTCCTTGTCTTCTGTAAGTTCTTCCTCTAATCAGTTCTTGTTCAGGCAGAGGTGGGGAAGGGGAGAGTTCTTTGTGAGTCAGACAAGCTGTGTCCTGTGCCAGGGTTTCCCAGGAACACAGAGCTGATGGGTAACACAACTTCTGCTCATATCAGACAGAGCTAAGGCAAGCCCAAGAGATCATCCATGCCTAGCCAAAGACAGACTACTTAGAAGAGTGGGCAGGACATTTTGCAAGCAACAGGATATTTTGTTGCCTTCCACAAGAAAAACATAAAGATTATGAGACCATAGCAGGGGTTTGGGCTGCTGGCACATTTTCCCCTTATTTGTTACATCTGGCATACATGTCAGGCTCCTGAAGACTAAATTTAACTTAAGTTTGGCCTTAATGTAGGGGTGAAACTTACTGACCTATGATATAGCAGAGGTGTGCTAGACCAGGGCTGTCTAATTGGCAGCCTACAGGTCACATGGGGCCCAGGAAGGGTTAATGTGCGGCCCTTGCAGGCTCCTACTTGACCACCACTCCCCTAAGCAGTTCAGCTACTGCTGCTTTCCCTTCCTCTCTCAGCCTTAGCTCCCTGCTCCTATCCCACAGGGCAGGGCAGGGCAGGGCAGACCAGACCATGGTGCTGGGGTAGCCCACAGCATGGTGCAGCGAGGGAGATGAAGTGAGAGCTGACCATTGCATGGTGTGTGTGTGCTTCCCACATGCAGGCAGATTACTACAGGTACTCATAGATTTAGTTCATCCAGAATTGATACATTTGACCTTTATTTAAACTGTTGCAAGTTTTAGCACAGGTATTCCATAAACATGCTTTTAAGCAGCACTATTGTACCTACTTGTACATAGTACAAACTATTTTATTACAAATATATTTTTGCTACTTGCATTTGCAGGTAGCAAATTTACTCGAGATTAGGGAGATTTACTGTGAAGTAAGCATGTGCATGTGTAGCATGTGGTTACTTCACAGTTATGTATGCTAATTCACTGTTGAGCATTTTGTGTAGATGCACCCTCTCCTTATGGTCACCCTATAGTTGTGCTCAGTGTCAGCTACATTTAATCAACTTCATATGTAATTTTGATTACTGAGCACATGCTGCTTCTGGCAGTAGTTAATGAGGGACAGTAGTTTGGCAATAGTTTAATGGGTTTAATAAGGTTTCCTTACATGCAAACATAAGATGATGAGGGGCTTTTTCCTATGTTGTTTGGGGGGGGAGGGGACCCTCAATTTCTTTTCAAGTAAATACAGAAACTTGAATTAGTTTGGATTGGGGGGTTGGGTGGTAATATGTTATCATAGATACTTCACAGGTACTTAAAGTGGGATAATGGACTGTAGAATGCTAGAATTAAAGGCTTTGTCCTGAGAAATCCAACCTGTTTTTAGCCTTAGAGTGGACACGGTAAAGTTGTTTTATGGGTGAAGGATATTGGAATATGGGTTTGATTGGGTTGTATTAATTCCCTATGGACAGTAGTAGGTTCTGATGTGGAAGGATTCATATGAAATGTTGAGGTATGCAGGCTGTCAGGTTTTGGCCAAATTAGAGCTTGATGTGTGCATTAGTAATAAACTTAAAAGAAAAAAATATGCAAAATCTTTACTATATAAAAATGTCACTCTCTCCACAGTAAGATGTTAATTATCCTATAAAGGAGGAAAAGCAACTACTACCAACCTTTCACTTGCTTTTCACTCACTGTTGATGTGACTCACCCAGTTTTACAACTCTTGGTTCTCACGCAAACCAAAATAACAAGGCATTAGATCCCAGGCTGCCCCTTAAAAGATTGTTACACAAGGGGAAAATTACAGCAAGGGTATTAGGTCAAGAAACCTTATCATCATGACTTGTGGAGGGGCAAGACTTCTGATGCTCCTCCTCCTTCCAATTGTCACGTTTTGTTAACTCGCCGCTCCCATCTGGAGAAAGCTGCATTTAAATGTAATCTACAATACCAATACATAACGAAAGCAGTTACACTTTATAATATAAGGCGAAAAGTTCATGCTGCAGAGGCTTGTAGTTCAGGCTTTTTTTTTTTTTTTTAGCTGTAGTTTCCCTCATTAAGCAAGAGGAGTACAGTCAGACATTGAGTTAGCAAAAAATTACGCAATCGAGAGTTCCTCACTCCACCTCCACAAACTAAAGAAATCTAGAGAATCATTATTAATTGCGAGAGATTCTGGCAAGAGGCACACAGCAAGTTCTAGCCATGGCCAGCGACCTAGCTGTTAAAGAAATAGAGAGATTTCTTGAAGAAGCTACTAGGAAAAAGTCTGAAGAGCTGCTGATTACCTACCAAGGGGTGTTTTACCCTTCATTGTGTAGTGCAGAAACCTTCCAAGCACTGGACATGATGGAAGTTAGAAAAGATGATGTGTTTCTTGTTGCTTATCCAAAATCCGGTGAGTAGTGACCTTTGGTGTACCCATATGCATGCACAAAAATAAAGTTTCATAGATGCCAAACATATGATCATTTTTAGGAATGCAGAAAAGCACTAAAATTAAAATGCTGCTTGTAAGTAAAGCCTCATTTACTTACCACAGGGAACCAGCATATTAGGGAGTGCTGTGTAGCTCATATAATTTTAGACGCATGTATTTAATTTAGCAGTGACCTGGATATTGGGGCAGACAAGTGATATTTGCTATAGTAAACTAAATGCCAAGAATTGTATAAAGCCATGGGGAGCTTAATAATATAAAGCTCCAGCACTTTAAAGCTCTTTGGTTTCTACAGCAAGCGTATCTCAATTTTTGTATGTATATGCAGTACTATATGTGGTGGATAGATGGGAAGTCAAATCAGACTCTGAATTATTCCAAAGGTTCTCGTTTCTTAAACACAGTGTAATTAGAGCTATAAAACATAAAAGGCACAGGTCAGTATAAAAGAGGCACAGGCAAGGTTGTTCAGACAGAGAAGAGTTAGGATGGGATTTTCAAAAACAGTCAATATTGGCCCAGTTCTGCTGATGTTAAAATCGATGGGAGTAAAGGCCAGGCAGTTCAGAGCATGCAGCATACTCCATTTATACGCATTCCAGCAAAATGCATAATTTGCTTCAATGTATAACACAACTCAAATCCAAGTCCATTGACTTGTGTATTTGGAATAAACATTGGTTATGTGCATATCAGTTAAGTGCATGGTGTAGGAGAAATTATTGGCTTAGGCTCCCAACCTGGAAAGGGAACACCTGCGAATACTCCTGACCCCAACAGGGCTCATTTCCCAGCTGAGACTCAAATAAGCAGGAGACAAGGGTGTGGTCTTTCCAGTTTATTCAGCCGAAGGTCCCTCCACCTCAGAAAAGGCAGAGGGGCCCTGGTTGTACTCTTACACATGTATTTATATTCTCTGGTTACATGATATTTTCACATGCGCAAAGCTTTAGCAGAAAATGACTAGTACTGCGTAACTCTTCTTTTACCTGCAGCATAAGCTCCAATCAAAATAAAGTTTTAAAAAGGTTTACCAAATAAGGCACAGGTCAGCCGTTAAACTTGTCTATCACGCTTAGTTACTATGGGGGAAGTTGTGGGCCCCTGAAGGTACAGGCTGCGCTTCCCGTATTGCTAAAGGAAACCCCTTTCTCTGCACACAATTTCTAACAATGGGCAGAAAGGGGGTGCAGATGATGAGGTGCATCATCCCATATAAAACAACATATTTTTCTCTGGTTAAAGTAACTAGAAGCTTTACCAATATGCTAGGGGCCTATGGCTGTATTATTCAGTTTGATCGAAGAAAAAAACAAATAATCTGCAGGGTTGTGAAATAGAAGTTTCATTACCAGGAGCAGCAAACGGATAGCAGAATTGCAGAACAAAGGATTGGTGGAACTTCAAGGCCATTAAAAAGAAGAGTGGATCTGTAACACCTGTGGAATGGAGAGTTTGGAAGGGAGCAGGTAGATTGTAATGAGCCATGAGATCAAGTGACTCCCTCAGCCAGCCCTGCACAACTAGAAATGCCACTGCCAGGCAGGTGGTTTTAAACTTTGAATGAAGCAGGAATCAAGGTGGGGAGGGAAAGCAAGTGCACCCGTGCACCCCTCTGAATCTGTTCCTCGTTAGGTGCATAAACTGCATTTTTGCAAATTATATTTCAGCCTTACTGTTTAACTAACTGAATTTTGCATACTAACTCCAACTGTCTACTTCTTAACTAAGTGTTTTCCCTTTAACTGTGCTGGAAACAGTGAAGGGGAAACAATGGTCAAAATGGTGTCCTTGGAAGCCTTGTATTTGTGTCAGTTTGGGGCTGCTGATCCCACACTTGGCGTGCTTACTTTGCATTCTCTACATTAGGTTGGATGAGTGCATTCTCTGGAGAGATGCACAGCTGTTTTTTTTCTGTTCTGTGGCTGTGCACTTAAAAAGAATAAACCACAGTTGAAAATCCCAGTGTCAGAATTGATAGTGCCTTGGAACAGTTGTTCTGAAAGGCTTTTTTGGAAATGTACTTTGAAGAAGGATGTGAGGGAAGAAAGGAGTTTGCTTGACAAAAGAAGGCAAATGGAAAGCAATCTAATTAGCTAATGGTTTCACCATTACATTTATACAGAAAATGTAGCTAGACTACCAAAAACATAGGCACAGGTGGAAAAAGACTGAAATGTGTAACTCTTCTGTTGTGCATTTCAAATAATAAAATAAACTAACTAGTATGTCTAACTTTTTCCCTCTGAGCTGTTGTCTGAGCAACTGCAGGAAAAAAAAAAAGTTAATTAAAGACCCGGGCTAAATTATTTTTTCTCTGGGATTTTCAGTTTATTTACAAGATTCTTGTCCAGCCAAGCTAATATAAACTGATGAAACCTGAAGCCACATGCTCGCAACATAACTTAAATAAAATATAAACAACCAAGGACAGAGCCAACCATTCTTTTCCCCAGGAGAACTCATTTAAGCACTAATCAGACCCTTTTCTTGTGTTTTTATGAGTTTAACGCTAACGGGGCTGGTTTTCTGTCTCTTACACACGGACACATACACACACATCAGTTGCAACCCCAGTGAGATTTAACTCTTGTAATCCAGGTTGCTATCTGATTTGGGAATGTGTCCTACAAATGTATGAAATAGCAGAATCTTTTTAGGGATGGAGGGGTGTTCTCAGCCCAATACTAATTTCTGTTTCAGAAGCTACAATAAAACTTTGCTTTTCCATAGATTTCATAGACATTAGGGCTGGAAGGGACCTTGGAAGATCATCAAGTCCAGCCCCAGGGGCGGGAAGTCAGCTTCAGCTGGGGTCACAGGATCCCAGCAAGATAAATGTCCAATTGACTCTTAAAGGAATCCAGAGTAGGTGCTTGCACCACCTCTGGCAGCAGCCTGTTTCAGGCCTTGGGGGCTTGGACTGTAAAGAAGTTCTTCCTTATGTCCAGCCTGAAATCATCTTAGAGGAGTTTGTGACCATTTGACCTTGTCATCCCATGGGGCACTCTGGTGAACAGGCATTCCCCCAGATCCTGATGCACACCCCTTATATACTTATAGGCAACCATCAGGTGTCCCCTGAGCCTGTGCTTTTGCAGGCTGAAGAGTCCCGTAGCTCTCAGCCTGTCATCATAAGACCTGTTTTCCTGCCCTCTGATCATGCACATGGCTCTTCTCTGGACTCTCTCAAGCTTCTTCACATCCTTTTTAAATTGTGAAGCCCAGAATTGGATACAGTACTCCAGCTGTGGCCTCACCAAGGCTGAGTACAGTGGGAGGATGACATCTAGGATTTGCTAGAGAAGCATCTATGGATGCAAGCCAAGTTTTGCTTGCTTTGCTGGTTGCAACATCACATACTATGTGATGTTCACAGCCTTCCATCCTTTACAGGCCTTTCTTTTTAGATGCAGGAGGTCCACTAGTTTCCTGCAGAGCCAAGGGGGCTGCTGTGCCCTTTTGCTGACTTTCCTCCGAGACAGGATAGACATTGCTTGTGCTTCCAGGATTGCTCCCTTGAGGAGCAACCACTCTTCCTGAACTCCCCTCCCCTTTGGGACATGGTCCCTTAGGGCCATCCCAACAAGCCTCCTGAGCTTGTCAAAGTCAGCTTTCCTGAAGTTGAGGACTTCTGTTTTGCTGACTGACTTGTCTGCTCTATGGTGGATGGTGAAGGGGATCAGCTCATGGTCGCTGTCACCCAGCTTCTCTTTGATCGTTAGGTTGCTGATTAAGTCATCCTCCATTGTCAGTACTAGGTCAAGCAGTGCTTTGCCTCTCGTTGGTCCGTGGACTTCTTGAGTCAGATAGAGCTCATACACACACGAGGAAGCTTTGCGACCGTTCAGATGTGGCTGAGTGATCTTCCCATGAAATGTTGAAATCTCCCATGACAACCATGCATCAGGAGCGTGTAGCCTCATCTAGTTCCCTGGCGAATTCCTGGTCAAGCTCTTGATCCCGGTTAGGAGGTCTGTAGTAGACCCCCACTATTGTGTCCCCTGTGCCTTGTTTGCCATGGATTTTGACCCAGAGAGTTTCCAGTCATCCCCCCTAGGTGGCAGTGTCAGCTTGCAGGGACGCATAGCTTTCCTTGACAGAGAGCTACCTGCCCCCCCGCCCTTTTTGCCCATACAATCTCTCCTGTACAAGGTATAGTCGTCTATACCTGTGGCCTAGTCATAGGTGGAGTCCCCCAGGTCTCCATTATCCCTATGAGATCATAATCCTTTTGGCTTAGCAGGAGGACCAGTTCCTCCTGTTTGTTCCCCAAGCTTCTGGCATTGATGTGCAGGCATATAAGTGCCCCATTGGGGGCCCTTACCTTTCCTACAGATCGCTTTGGGGCTGGGGCAGGGGTGGGTTCCTTGAGTGCCTTAGCCTGCTGGATTTACAAAAGCTGCCCAGTGGGCTTGCAGTGGCAGTACTCCCCCCATCCCCCTGCAGGCTCAGTTTAAAGCCCAGTCGAGCAGGTCAGCCAGTCTGGCTGAGAAGAGCCTCCTCCCCAGCAGAGTGAGGTGGAGGCTGTCTCTTCCCAGCAGCCCACTGCCTCCCTCACCAAAGAGTGGGCTGTGATCATGGAAGCTGAAGCCTGGCCTACTTTAAAAAAAAAAATTTTTTTTTTTTTTTTTTTTTTTTTAAGCCTTTCATGTTGGAAAAAATGCCAGATGTATTTTTTTTTTATACTTGATTTTTCTCAAAAGTGGCTTTTTTCTAGTGATGTATCAGAATCAAATACAGTTACTCTTCTTGGCTGGAGAGAGACATTCAAAAAGCCCGAGCCTGAACTGATTCAGTCTTTGCAGGTTAGTCTAACCTGCAGAGAGTGAACCAGTTTGCAAGTGGATAGATGTTCGGAACATGCCTGTAGTGACTTAAGCCTGAAGCCTAGGGGTGCTAGAGCAGTCCTCTTTTCCACAGGGAAGCTGAGCTGAGGATCAGGGGCATGGCCAGGCCCCAGCAGGCCCACCCCAGCGGCTCCCTGACAGGGGGAGCAATCCTGGCACACATGGATGCCCAACCCCAGAGGGAAACTCTTCTTCTTCCTCCTCCTCCCTCTCTTCCCACTGCCGTGGCGTGGCTCCAGCCAGTGCTGTGCAGGGGGAGGGAGCGGAGTCTGCCCCATCACTGGGGCTCTGTTTCCTGTGCCTGCAGCTCCAGCACTTGCAGCAGAGCAATCCCCACACTGGAGCCTGCTGCCTCCCCTGCTCCCTGCTGCGCAGGTCCCCACACTCTGCTGGGAGTGGAGGGAGCTCCAACCCCTGCTTCCATGCAGAATCCAGGACAGGGCTTCCCCGCTATGAATGTAGAGCTGCAGGTGCATGGTGTGGAGCCCCAGGGATAGAAGCAGCCAAGCAGGCTGCATAGGGCTGTGCTTCTTGTCCCCATTGCAGCGCTGGCTGCCTCTGTCCCTGGGGCTCCATGCCACGCATTTGCAGCTCTGCTCTTGCAGTGAGGAAGCCCCGTGCTGGATTCTGCTCAGAAGCAGGGAGTGGGGCTCCCCCCACTCCCTGTGGAGTGCAGGGACCTGCGCAGCAGGGAGTGGGGGATTGTGTTCAGTACACACACCTGTTTGTTTATTATTTCTGGACTGTTTTTCTTTATGTTCCACACCAGCTTGGGTGTGTCTCCTTATAACCTTCACTTTAATTGTTTGTATGGCTCCTTTGAACTAGGATTTGTGATTTCACTCATAGGGCAAAGCCATTCAGACTTGTTACCTTGCCTGATGATTTGCATTAGTTATTTCCAAGTAATTCAAGATCTCACAGTTATATATAATGCATGTTTGATTATTATTCTATAAACCTCATGTGGTCTGCATCTGGGACATCTCAGTATAATGGTCTTTTAAACTTCCATGCTTCCAAGATCTTAAATCTATCACAAAGATGAAGTAGATCTTAGATCCATCGAAATGTTGGGGGATATGCTAAATATCTGGGTTTTCCTTAACTTCTTGGAAGCTCTTTCCTCAAATTTATCTTCCTTTTTGTTCCATGTTTTTCCCTTTTTCTCAAGTATCCTCCATCAAACTTTTTTTCTGTCCACCTTATCTGTTGTTCTCCCCAATTCTCTCTCTTTTTTTTTTTTTTTTTCCATTCTTGAACTCTCCTGAAATATTTCTTCACCTTTGCTCACCCTCTTATGCTGAGGTGGAGAGGAATCCTGCTTGCTATTCTTCAGCCTTATAGTGAGTCTTCCTACAAGGCACCTATTCTACTGCTGATGCTCTTTATTGTCCCAACTGAGCATCCCTGAATCAGTTGCTTCTGTGTTCTTTTTCACATCTAGGCTAAGTACAGACAGTCAAAAAGCCCAACTCTGAATCGATTCAATGTTCGCAGATTGAAGTCTGAGCTACGTAGATAGAACTAATAAGCGAATGAACAGACATTCACTTTCAATTCCAGAAATGCAGCCACATGGCTGCGGTGGCCCAAGTCAGAAGCTGAGGGTGCTAGAGCACGCCTCCCTGTTCGGCTGGAGCAGACAGCTTGGGCTAAGGCTAGCCCATCTACCCTGCGAGGGGGTATAGGGGAGGTGCAAAGCATCCTGGGATGGTGGAGGACTGAGAGTTAACTTGAATTTGGAGGGGAACTGGGACAGAAGTTCAATAAAGTGATTCAACTTAAATCAGTTAAGTCTGATACTACATCCATCCAGGCTTATCTTAAACTGGTTTCAACCGTTTTGAAAGCAATTTATGTATGCTGAACTTCTTTTGTGTTACAGATTTGAACTGGTTTTCAATCACTTATACTGGCTTGTGTGTAATTTCTGTCCCTAGCCCTAAAGTGAAAAAGAATTCCCTGAACTGACTAGGGTTATAAAGAAAGAATATATAGCAGTTTGCAGAATTTGCAGGAATAGCTTTTAATTGATCATCTTCACTTGTTCTCTTTGCTCTTCAATTTTGAATGGAAAGTACAAGAATTCTGTGGTCTTTTTTTAAACTATTTCCACCATATTCCTGTGCTGCTGCCTATTTACCATATATAGCAGAAGCAGCAGCCAAAGTACCTATTGGAGGCATTATATGCATAAAGGCAAACCCTAAAAGACAGCTGCCGTGGAAAATATGACTGACTGTGCAGAAGTTGAATAATACTGCACAGTGGCATGTCACAGCACAGACAGTGCTAATATGCTACTGCATAGTATTTTTAGGCTACTGGGAAGTAGTGTCACATAAAAGACATTCACTGGCGCTACTGTGCAGTAAATCCGGTTACTTTGCCTTCATTTAGTACTTGCTAATGCACAGACTGCACAGTAGCGTCTCATGTAGACGTGCCCCTAGTTGCAAAAAGTACAGAAAATCCATTCTCACCTATAATACAATACTAAGGAGATATCATCAACTTAAAAATCACAATTTTCTTTTGGAAAATTACAGGTGCCCTGGATATTTCACAGGTTACAATTTTAGAATTCCTAATTTCCTTCTCTAAACTGTTTTATTCTATTTCAGGAACTAATTGGGTTAAAAAGATATTAAATGACTTGACAGCTTCACTTCAAAAAGAGGCACCCACACTGGAGCAACACATGATGCTTGAATTTGGAAAGCCAGAAAAATTTCAGGTCAGCATTGACCAAATTTTGAAATGTATTTTTAGCATCCAGTATTTTTAATTGTTTCTGTTTTTTTTTTTTAACAACCCAGATTAGAACAAAACATGTTACAAAATCATAGATGTTTTTTCATGCTGGAAATTTGAAGTTGATTCTGTCTTAATTTCTGTTACTCTTGGAAATCTTAGCATAAAGTATTGAACCACAGAACTAAGTGTGAGATGATAAAAAGAAAAATATTAATTTAACCCTAACCTCAAGCCTAGAAAAGGAGAGAAAACACTATTTGACACTTGCAACCTTTTTTTAACTTCAAAGTAAACATATCGGTATCATAAACTGTCAGCATCTTTGAGGTAGAAGTTTTATGGCTTTTTTTTTTTTGCTTACACTTTTTTTGTTTTGCTTTAGAAAATAAAAGATTCATCTTCTCCGCGAGTTTTTTACACACATCTCCATTATGATAATATTCCAAAGTCTGTCTTTGAAAAAAAGGCTAAGGTAAGTGACTATTTTAATAAGGGTTGACAACTTGACATTATCCATTTTCTGAGATAATTCATATTTTCTCCTGTCAGTTGATCTCTGTATGGCTTCTGTAGAACATGATGCATTTTATTCTGACAGGGCGTGTCTACATGTATGCATTTACTGTGCAGTAACCAAAATTACTGCACAGTATGGGTGCTTGTCTACACTGCACAGTAAATATGGTGACTTATGCCTACTTGAGTGGCTGTAAAGTAATGGGCTGTCAGGCTCTGGAATGGACTCCCAAGGGAGGTGGTGCTCTTCCCTACCTTGGGGGTCTTCAAGAGGAGTTTGGATAGATATCTGGCTGGGGTATTATGATCCCAGCACTTGTTCCTGCCCAAGGCAGGGGGTCAGACTTGATGATCTGTTCAGGTCTCTTCCAACCCTAGAAACTATGAAACTATGTACAGGAACTGAAATTTAGAAACAAAGCCCAGCCTGCAGGCAAGTTTGTATACTTGTAAAGGCAGATCTTGTGCCTCCACAGGCTTCCTCTGACTTTAGCGGAGCTCTGTTGAGCAATAATGATTTTCCCATACAGTGTACCTGGCAAGATATATGAATATGTTTTTAACACAGGCTACTTGTAATCGAGACTCATTTTTCTTTCCTGTTTTAAAAGATAGTGGTTGTATTTCGAAATCCAAAAGATACAGCTGTATCCTATTACCACTTCTATAACAACAATCCTGTGCTTCCAACTATGAGCTCCTGGGATGAGTTCTTTCAAAAGTTCATAAGTGGAGAAGGTACACTTGTTATATCTTGGCAATATTTGTTCTTAGCTATAGTTTTAATAGTGCACTCATTATACAATTTATAATTATACAAATACAAAATAACCTGGTGGGGAATAGCCTCAAATAGACCCGGTAAGAACAGCAATAAGAATAACGCCAATTTAAAGTGAAGCTCTACTGTAGAATAAAAATGGCATTGTGAGTACCATATACATATCAGTATGTATACGAGTGCATCTACATGAGACACTTAATGCCCAGTAGACTAATTCTACTGTACACTAGCATGTCATGGCAAAAACCGTGCTAATGTGCAGTAGAATTTGTCTACTGCCAATTAAGCATCACAAAAAGACTGTGCACCGTTGCTACTGTGCATTTATGTAGTACCTCACATTAGAGAAACTAAACTTAATGCACAGTAGCAATGGTACATTAATGCCCATGTAGATGCACCTGGTTATTTCCAGATGAAAGGTATTTTGTTAAAAAAATAAAAACATTGTTTATAACTGCCAGTTTTTCAAATTCAAGCTGGGACTGTGAATCAAGTTGAATTCTTCCATTCTTCTGCTTCATCACCACAAACAATGATGGCAGTTCTTGAGGCTACATTACACCTCCAAAAAGTTTGAACTTCCAAGCTGGCACGCTATTCCAGTGATGGAAAATGGAATAGGTTCCATTCATATATCCACAACTGCTTCAGCTCTGCAGAGCTACCAGAGTAAAAAGGGGTAAAACAATATTTTATTTATTAAAGTCAGTAGATATGGCTTTGGTTACATGAAGGGAAACAGATCTGAGTAAGATCTGAGTCAGAACCATGTTTTATACAACCATTTTTCAGAGTAGAACTGAATTTTAACACCAGGCTCACTCTAATCCCCTTGTTATGCTAGCTGCTATGGTTCTCAAATGGGTTTCAGGGTTTTTAGTAATTTGCTGATAAGTTTACCTGAAACATTGTAAATTCTTTCCTTTTTAAAAATGTATTTGATTGCTTTTTACTCCTATTATTTTTGCAGTGCCACAGGAGTTATGAAATCAGGAAATGAACTATGTTACAATGTAGGGCTGTGAGAAGCTTCGGTTGCTGATTTGATTCGACAGAGATTCAACCTGATTTGGTGCTGAATCTCCTCCTCTGAATCGAATCAAGAGACCCTTTAATCTCTCTGAATCGAATCGGAACCCTCTGAATTGATTGGGAGCGATTTGGAAAGATTTGATGATTCGGACATAGACACAGCTTTAAATGTTTTTCTACATACCTCAAGGTGCCAGGTGGCTCATGAATGCTGAGATACCGGGGTGGATGGAGCTTCCCCAGTGTGCTCAGCAGCAGACTCAGAAGTGGACCAGAAGTACTTCCGGGTCCACTGGGGGGAGTGTTGGGGGGCCCCCTGTACCCCCTCGGCTTGGCAATTGGTGCCTCCTAGGTCTGGGGGTTCCCCTGCGGCTGATCACGAAGCTGGGTGGGCACGGGGGTCCACCCCCACGTGCTCAGCGGCGGACCTGGAAGTGGACCGGAAGTATTTGTGGTCCATTTCTGAGTTTGCCGCCGAGCACGTGGGGGAGCCCTGCTATGCTCCTGTTGGATGCTGCATCTACCCCAACATCGCAGCATTCACATGCTGCGCTGGTACCTTGAGGTATGTAGAAAAAACATTCAAAGCTATGTCTGCGTCTGAATTACTGATTCTCTGAATCAACATCAAATCTTCAGATTTGGATTCGGCCGAATTGAATTGGGACACTGATCCAAATCAACGAATCAAATCACTGTCCCCGATTTGGGTTGAATCCGAATCGAATACAGCCCATTTCACACACCCCTATTACAATGCTCAGGGTTGAAAGGGACATAGAGAAACATCTATCCTGTAATGTGTGGGGTACATGTGGTTTCAGTGCAGTCTTACTCTTTGTTCCAACCCCTCTTACACTGTTTTGCAGTAAAGAGGCCAGAAAGCAGCTGGATTTGAGCAACTGAAAAACCTCTGGAGTAGGAGAACTTCCAGCTCATACAAAGCTTGCATACTTGATTTTGTACCATTATAAATCCTAGTAAAGGGCCTATATACAGAGGCTATCTCTGCTTCACATATGGGGACCACTGCTACTTTAAATTACACTAAAGCTTGGGCTAAACTGAACAGAGAATCAGCAACCATGAAAAAATACCCCACAATTCTTGCTGCTGCACTTAAATGAAACTTACAGCATAGGATCTGTATCATATTTTAATTAAATAAAATATACTGGCTGAAACTAATTTTTAATTCAGCTTAAGGGCCTACTTCTGCAAGCACTTAAGCATGTGATAACTCTGTTTAGGCTAAAAGCTTCACTTAAGTAAATCCTGTATATGGTGTTTGCTGAACCTTAAACATATTTGTGCTTTTACATTTTAATTTTTTTCACACTTGATAAGTAAGATGTCAGCCAGGTTATGTGATAGGCGATGCATGCACTCTTCTAATATTTATACACTATTTTATTCCTGATCACTTTAAAGGATATTAAAGAACTAATTAGTTGTAAACATTAACTTGACAGGTAGAAGCTTACTGTTTGGTTTGAAAAGAAAAATGGGCAAAGAAAGTGGAAAAAAAATCCTGGAACAAATGATGTCTAAGACAGTGGTTCCCAAACCCTGACAAATTGCGCACCACCAACTTAAAACAATACAACCTGAAGTACTACCCACAAATTTTCCAGTTCAACCTTAAGTACCACCAGCAAATTTTTGTCATATAAATTAATTATAATAAATCTGTTAACATGTACCACTGAGAGGTGATCTGCGTACCACTAGTGATACCCATACCACAGATTGGGAACTGCTGGTCTAAGATAAGGTCTTTCATAGAAAAGTAGTAAGAACAGACTGCAGAAATATTTAGACAGTCTAAGCTTTCCAGGATGATATAATGAACTTCATATATAAATTTAATCTAAGTGCTAATTTGAATACATATTCAATTTCCTTGACTTACTGTATTTGCTCTATTCAATTTCAGTCTGCTGGAGCTCATATTTTGACCATGCACTTGCTTGGAACAGACACATTGATGATGAGAATATTTTGATAATCACATATGAAGAACTGAAAGAGGTGATTTTTACTATAAATTAGAAATTGAAAAGACATATCAGACCATTGAGCTGGGATGAATAGGGAGTTTGGGTGGTTTTAGGGGCATTGGTAGGATCTGAGAAAGAAGGGAGTAGGATTGCATCAGTTTTGCTCAGAGACTCCTTTTAGGTCACAAATAGAAAGTCTGAAACTTAGAATTCTGCAGATATTGGGTAACAGCTAGAAGAGCTAGTGAGTGGAGAACAATTTTACTAGAGCAGGGGTATCAAATGCAGATCAGTTGGTGGGTCATGTTTCCTGCTAGCAGCCAGAGAGTTAATGCCACTGTGGCTCACCCCTGTCACTGACTGCTGCTGATTTTTGTAACCACCGGTGATTGAAAATGGTAAATTTGGTGGTGGAAAAACAGGGGTGGTGAGAAGGTGCCTAACTGCAGTGACAGCTCTATTAATCCAATGGGTGCTGGCTGTGCCAGTACAGTAGTCCTGGCAGCCATAGCAAAAATCACCACAGGCCAGATGACCCACCTCCACAGGTTGTATTTGGCCTGTGGGCTGAATGTCTGAAACCCCTATCCTAGAGGAAAGGCTCATCAGGAACATAACTCAGAACTCTGAACCAAAAGTGGTGAGTGAACTGTGAAAGATGAGGGTATATTTTGACTTGTGGACTTTGTAAATAATTGCAGACATGAGGAAGAGAGATACTAACTTAACTATTGGGGACTCTTATGTTATTGGAACAACTTAGAGGGAGTAGAGAAGTGGTGCTTTCTTTAAGGGGTAAACTGTACATCCATATGGGAGTGTGTTCAGTGATGGTATCCTGCCACAGTCATTAGTTAAATCTGATATAAAATTGCTTCATTTAGTATATTCTCAGTGTCTTGTCCAGTCCAGATCCATTTTGTTCCAGGCAAATTATGCTTTCCTGTGCTCTATTTTCAAAAGATGAAGAATGCAGGCATGATGTAGCAGCCATTTTAAAATCTCCTTCTGGGTATTTCTGATTAATTAAGGTGTCACTTATGAAAGCTTATGCACCTCTGATTTAGTCTATAAAGTGTGAATATACTCTGGTTTCTGCTTGTCTTGTATGAGACATGTGATTAGATAGCCCATTCCCATTTTTCATTCTCAGCACAAAGAACCTGATCATGAAACACTGATGGAACTAATTCACTTTAAGCATGCCCCATTGTCTGTGAGACCCCCGAAACAATTAAATTACACTGTTGTTAGGATGATGATCAGGGATCTGGGTTTTCCATTTCCCATGGAAAAATGGGGAAAAAAACACTGGATTTTTCCCTTTTAACAGAGGAAAAAAAAGATTTTTCATTTTAACGGAGATATTTGCAGATTTTCCACTTTTGTAGAGCTCTCTGCAGGATGGCAAAGTTCCAGCCTGCAAAAGCTTCTCGCAAAAAGGGCAGCAAACCCTAAGCTCTGTCCCAAGGGGGAAGGGAGAGCGGGAAGGTGTGGGGCCTGAGACTCTCAGTCAGCTGGGGTTTGGCTCAGCCTCACTTTCCCTCCTGGAGCCTTTGAGGTAAGTGGGACTTGCAGGGGGACTGGGGGCCAGCTGGATGCCCCCTCTGGCAGGGCTGAGGTGAGCTGCAGGTCAGGGATTGGGGGCACCTGCAGGGGTGGGGGGGTCCAATGGGACAGGTGCAGATGCTGGTGACTGCCAGGGCTGGGGTGGGGAGGATTGGTGGCCATGGGAAGAGATGGCGGGATGAGTGGGGAGCATCATGCGGGTGTGTGGGTCTAAGGGAGTGGGGAGGTGTCCATGGGAAGCCCTGCGTGGAGGGCCAGCCCAGCCCGATAGCACATGGACTGGTAGCTGCATGCCATAGGGCTGGGTGGGAAGCCACACATGGAGGCACCAAGTTGTGCACCATTGGGTGGGTGGTCTTCTGCTTGCTTTCATGTGCAGCTTCCTGCTGGAGTGCACATGGCGGCATGGAGACCATCTGGCCCAGTGGTTTGCAGTTCCCACCTGCACTGCCATGGTCTACATTATGGCACAGAGCCAGCCTGGTCTGGTTCAAAGGTGTGCGCCAGTGGGCCAGGCCAGCTCCGTGCCAGCAAGTGCAAGACCTGGGACTCAGCCAGAGGTGCATACTGCTGGGGGCTCTGCCTGCCATGGCCATGAGCTCCCACAGGGCCCGCCATCTGCTACTGCTGAGCTGCCGGTGGTGGGGGCTGTGTACCACAACCCCCGCCCCCACACACCCCTTCACAACCCCTCCACAAATCCCACACCTGTTCACAAACTCCACACACACACCCACACCACTTCACAACCTCCCCACAAGCTCCCCCCACACCTACATCCCCAACACTGCTTCACAACCCCTCCACAAACCTCACACCTGTGCACAACCCTTCCACACCCACTCCCCGCACACCCATTCACAAGTCCCCCACAAACCCCACACCTGCCCACAAATCCCACATATTCCCTTACCCCTTCACAACTCCCCCATAAATCCTACACCTGCCCACAAATCCCTCACATACACTTCACACTTACCCCCAGCCATATGAAGTACCTGCATATATTTTAAACAAAGCCCAAATAGTGTTACATTAGTTTAATTTGTAAAAAAAAAAAAAAAAAAAAAAAAAAAATAAT